AAATATGGAGCCCTCCCCCCCGACTTCCTCCAGACACCCCCTTCGAGTTTCATCCCCCTCGTTTCGCACAGACCACCCCCCGAGTGTCGATCAGCGAATCTTCGCCCATCCGGCATTGAAGTGCGCGAAGAATCTGGAAATGTGGAATTGAAAATAGGGGCTGACGCCAGTGCTTCCTTCCATCCCCTCTGACAGGGTGGCACGCCGATTTAACGCCCGTTAAGAGGCCGCTCGCTAAACGCGCGCTCGTCAAGGATTAAATCAAGATTAACAGCAAGATTACCGGACTACTCGCTGCTCGGGTTATTCCCTGGGCCAACCCCCCGCCGTTTACCCCCGAAGTTTTCCCGGATCGTGACTGCCTGGCGTTACTACTCTTAACTAAATTACGTTAATCTCCGTAATACCCGGAGAGCTCGGAGGGACGTTGGCGCGATTGTCACCGATAATTCAGACCCGCCGAGGGATGCTTCTTTGCCGCGCGAGAAAGGCGCCTCCAGGTTTCCCGGGGGGTGGTGCCACCCCCGGCGGGAGTGGCGACGGTTGCCTAACGGCGGCACCTGCATTTTTCGAAAATGACCATCTATCTCCGTATTTTCTCTGGACCTTTTCTTTTCTTTTTTTCTCTTCGTTTTTCCTTAGAGAGGGTATTTATTTACGTGAATTTGGAAACTCCGGGAAATTGCTTGGCAGGAGGGGGAGGGGAAACGCCCGAATCTTATTTTTAGCGATTCTCGGGATGCTGGGGCCTCTTTGTTTGGACAGGTGCTCCTCGGCGCGGTGATGTCACGAAATTTCGGATAAGGCCTTTCCTATCCTCGAGACCTCGGCTAGAGCGGCGATAACCGCGCGGGATTTTGCTTTCGCGAGGTGACGCGAAATCTTTGCGGAATTTTTCCCGCTCCGTCGGTCGGCCGGCACCTCGGACGGTCGAGCGGACGTCTTTTTACGCGGAATTCCTCCTTTCGAGCGAGGTCGGTCCGAGGATTGTTTAGCACCGAGTCGTGTAAATAATTTAGTATCTTATCTGGCAGTAAACACGGACAAACGTAGCCCATCGGCGTAGACTTCGATTCGCGGACCCTGATGTGAGACTCCTGAAACCATGAAGAAATTCCTCTCGCGTGGTTTAAATTTATTTATATATATGTTACAGTGAAACACCGAAATCTGAGGAATGTCGACTTTCGCCGGTGAATGTCAACATTCACATAGTCGCTTCGTGTATGTCCGAAATATTTGCTAAATACCCTTATTTCTGACTTACACCGGTAAATGTTGGCATTCACCGGTGTGTGATTGTCGACACACACTGGAGAGGGTCCGAATGTACAACAATGTAATGAAATATTCGATCTTTCACCGACGTATTTGGTATCTGTTGACATTCACCGGTGAAAGTCGACATTCTCCAATTTCCGTCATTCACGGTAACATATATATATATATTTATTAGTTATACTTTTAGTAATGGCATCTAGAAGCGATCACCGAGCCCGCCGTTCGTCACTCTTGTCCGACTCGGCCCTGAAGAGGCGAGGAAAAATTAGAGGCCGGATTTTCCATCTCGACCGGCACATCCGGCGAAACGTAGCAAAACAATTCCCTCTAAAGTAAACACACGCATCCGGTTTACTTGTGAATAAACAACATATTTATTTTTAGACCCTCCCGGCGGCGGACTCGGCTCGGAGCTCGCTCCGTATGTTGGCACCTCGTCGACGCTCCGAATTACCATTTCGCGCCTGTCGTGACCTCCAAGGGGTTCCTCGAGCCCGTGTAAACGAGAATTCCCACCAGATCCAAGGATCGTTCCTCCGTTTCGCCGGTTTCCATTCATCTCCCGCGGATAAGGACGTCCAAAGGGTTCCACGAAGTCGCGTAATCGGGGATTCCCTGCAGACTCGCCCGGTCGGCGGTCACCTCGTCGCCGAGGATCGTTCCCTCCGTTTCGCCTATTTCTATTTATCGTCCGCCTCGATAACGTCCCGGGTCGGGGCAAACACCTACGAGTAGCCGGCAAACAGGCCTCTCGTCGAGGTTGCGCTCCTCGAGGTCGGCCCAGAGAGAATCGAGCGAGCCGAGATAGGTATAACCCACGCCGCGTGTACGATGTATGTACAACAGGCCATGTATGCAGGAAGAACCACCGAGGAGCGCGATTCGATCGACAAAAAATTATTTACGTCCCTGACGTCACCCGCGGCGTGTCCCTCCTCACGTCGGACGTCGCCGTCCACGTGTGCGCCTCGCCGACTTATTGTTTATCGAGACGTTTACGCTCGCTTTCCTCCGAGAGCGGTATCTGTAAACGTACCTCCGCAAACAGCTCTCCGCCCCGGCGATTGCGGCACCGCAGCTGCGAGGCCTTTTGAGGTTAGGTCGCGCCCGAGTGAGAGAGTCGGTCGAGTCTCGTCGTCTCATTTCGTTAGAGAGAAATATTGTTCACAGGTAGACTAACCTCGAGGGTGTCGGCTTGAATGAGAAAGAGGTATCGTGCGAGTCGTCGAGGATAGCGTGATAAGCCGATAAGACATCGGGGGGGGGGGGGGGGATCCACAACGGCCTAATTTCTGACGAGATAAGTCGTCGAAACCGGAGGAGCCACCCCTCGCGACGCCACGTTTTATCGGCGGCTCCGCCCCGAGTCTCGGCTCGAGATTTATCGCAAAATTCGATAGATATTGCCAATTACGACCCCCCGGGCCCGAGGAGGGGGGGGGAGGAGGAGGAGGAGGAGGAGAGGAGGAGCGACGGCGGCGGCTTCCGACTGCCGCGGGAATTTTAAATGCGCCTTTATGTACGCAGCCGACGTGACGCCTCGCGCAAATCCGCCCCTGAAATATGATTGCCCCCCTACCTCCCTGCGGGGGGGGGAGGAGGTGTCGTGTTTGTCTTTGCGATACCCCGGAATACCGAAAGACCCCCGGGAAGATAGTTGCCCCCGTTCCCCCATGGAACCGTGGGACGTGGAACGCTCCGGCGCCGAGTCGCGATTTTTCCCCACGTCTTTCCGGCGCGGGGGCGGGTATTAAAAAGAATTTCCTCTAAGGGGGGGGGGGGGGAAGAAGGGACTCGAGTCTTCCATTGTTCTCGCCTAGAGGGAAACCCGGCGAGAAAATCGCGGATGCATCTCGATGCGACCGGATTAGCATAGAAAGCGCGGCGAGTGACGTGCCCGTCCGCCCACGTGGCCGATCAGCTGATCGCCGATCGGGCCCTCCCGCCTTTATAATTCCGAGGTCGTCGATTGTTGCTAAATCCCTTGTAATTTTCCCTTTTTGCGGCTTTCCTCGGTACCCTATCCCGATTTCGGAGTGGGCTCCCCCTTATCCGGCCCGTTATCACTCGCTCCTGCCATTTGCTTTCCCCGCGGCCGACGAAACCCCGGCCGCGGCCGCGTTCCCGCGGAACGCGCGGCGCACGCAATGTCGTGACAATTAGTGTCGCGCGAAAATAATTTAACACAGCCATCAACCGAGCACGGGGAACACGCGATCGGCAATCGGCGGCCATAAAGCCCGATTCGTATGGAGCCTCCGGCCAGGGACTCAGATAACCCTTCCCCTCCCCCCCCCCCGACCCCTTTTAACCCTGTGTCATCCCCCCCTTAAGTAACTCTAACTACCTTAGACCAGAGATGCTCCAAGCGGTCTATTTTTACGACACGCCTGCGAACGCAAGGAGGTCGACTCGATTTTCTCGTTTCCTATCTACTTATTTCTTACTTTTTTTCCTTCTTTCTTTTTTCTTTTTTTTTGCCGACGGAGATCACGACGCGGGATTTTAGAGCGACCTCGTGGAACGTCTCTTATACCTAGACCGCCCACGCGGAGAGGAGTTAACGCGGTGTCGGGTTAGTCTTTATAGGTATTGCGGAGATATCGTAACGAGGGCTTGTCGAGTACGAGTAACGGCGATTAGGTCGACCTCCTCGAGGTAAGATCCTTCGGGAGAGGATTCAAGGACTCGCTGAAATTCCATTAATCACTCCACTGTAAGGAATGTCGTCGTTTCCTGCTCCTTGCGTGGGGAGGGGGGGAATAAAAATTCCCCGCGGAATTAAAAAGCCGTACAGGGAGAACAATACGAGGAAACCGGCGAGGGATGCGGCCCCGGGTGGGGTAGGCACCGCTCGAAGACGAAGTGCTCTCATTATACATCCGGTGATTTATGTGCGTGCCACCTTGCCGGAGAGAATCCGGGTTAGAGGTAAAGTTAAAAGAAAAATAAGGCTTACGGGGTGCAAAGTCGGGAAGAACGGCTCGCCGAAGCGCGGCGAATGTATTATGAAAAATTCCGAGGAGGTACCCCGGGCGCCCCGGGGAAGTTCGCCGAGGAGAGGGAGAACTACCCCCACCTTGCTTGAGACATCGACGCGAGAATTTGTACATATATATATATATACGTATGTTTATTGATTATGACTATTTTATTATGCATTTTTCTTATCACTCTCATAGGTGGAAGAGGCTCCGAGGATGGGTCCAGGGATCGCGGTTCCAGGGACCTCTAGCTCCTATTAAATGTCGCCACTCGTCGGTTTCGCGAGGCTCCCATTAGGGCCCGATTATATTTATGCATCGTGGCCATAAGCGCGCCCGGGAATCGACCTCGCGGAGTCGAACGTTGAACCGCGGCCGGAAATAAAGCAAAACGCGGTATAAGTTACGCGGAAGCGCGTATAGTTATGCGCGGACGGGACGCGGAATCGCGCCCGAACGGGACCTCGACCTCCACCGTGGTGGACATGGACTTAAGATACATAGACCAGGTACGCGGAATCGACCGAGAGAGAGAGAGAGAGAAACTGTCCCCTCCGTTCTCCCTCCGTCCATAACCTGTACAAGGACGGGAAGAGAACGATCCTCCAGGATCCATGCCTCCCGCGTCCACCCTCGAGCCCTCCCCCCCGAAAAAATGGGGATCCCCGAAGACAGGGATCGAATTCCATGGGTTCCTCCTCTAATTTTCGATCTTTCTCTTTTTCTTCCTTCCAGGGCCACATCGGTGAGAACCCGTTCGACAACGGTTCCTGGGTGAAGGACCACTTTCAACCGGCGACGGTCCCCTGGCAGCTCAATCCACGCGGCCACGGACGCCTCAGTGTGAGTACGCCTTTAATGAGCCGTTTTAAGGGAGCTTGAAAAAACTAAGGGGTGGGAGGGAAGGAACAAAAGAAAAAGAATTGGAAAAAAAGGAACTCTTTTCGCACTTTTTCACGCCCTTTGGGGGCGCACCGCGCATCCGCGTTCTATCTCCCGCGGTCGGTGGCGCCCTCTGCGGTAGCCGCGCGGTACGACCCGCGCGGCGGTTTGCGGAATCGAGGACCGACAGGGGGTGGGAAACGTTGAACGGCAGCCCGCGACAGCGGAATAAACTGGGGCCAACGAGGTGCGTGAAATCGGGGGGGGGGGGAGGTGCCCGAGGGTGCGTACGACCCCACTGGCCCCATTCGCGGTCAATTAGGCCGCCGATTATCCGCCACCCCTCGCGGAGAAAAAATCCACCCCCGTGTCGAGCCCGACCCGACCGGGTTTAGGATTTCCCGGGTAGACTTCGCGCCTCCCTAGATATACATGTCGCGTTTCTTGAGGAGAAACCGGGACGTTTTTTCCTCCATAGTGGCCGCAAATTGCCACCCCCACTGTGGTGTCCGAATAAATCAGCGCAACAATAATGGCGGACGCCTGGAAAAGCGCCACCCCTGGGTCGGCCGAAATTTGTAATTCCGCCCGGTAAGAATAAGGGGCCTCCGGGGAAGGGAAAAGAAATCCGGCCGCTCATTGTGCGACTTGGGGGCAAAAATACTCCGGAACCAGAACCGGGAACCACCCCCTCCTGGGACCCGAGTGTCGCTACTTCTTCCAGTTTCTTTTCCCCTCCACCCTGTATTTATAACGCGCTTTGTTTTCCCGGGGTTGTAAGTCACTCGGGATTCGGCGCGTCCTCCTCGATGTACTCTGAGAAGTACTTGAGAGTTTTCGGGGTGGTAAAGTTGGTTTTTGAAAAATCGAACCTTTCGAGGGATGGCTGGCTGATTGGCTTTTTTCGGCAGGTTTTTAGCTGTCGCCAGGTTAGGGCCATATCGCTCAGGTACGGAGTTGAATTAATTCCGGTAATTTTTAGAGTCGGGGGTGCGAGGAAAGGGCATTTTCGGCACGGGTGGAGTGGAAGGGAAGACCTCGCGAATCTGTAAATCGTGGAGGAGTCGCCGGGGGAAGGTAATCTCGCCGAGGAACCGCGGGCATAATTAATGGCCGCGACGCTAATCATTTCGCTAATTACCCGGGGCTCTTTTTCGAAAGGGGTTGCGGCCGTCAACTCGGCCGCCCCGGGATTTATGGAATCGCCTAGGAGAGAGACTTTTTCGCGAGAGAACCGGGCTAATTAATTGTCCTCCTAGGCGAGCGTTAATCACGGGGCCGATTGCGAAGCCGCTCTCTTTCCGGGCGCCATTTTTTCATCCAGGCGTCGAGGGGTCGAGAGAGAGGGATCGATTAGTTCGATCGAGTCCTTCTCTCAGTTTTTCCTTTAGGGTGTTTTCCTTCTCAGCCGAGAAAAATAAAAATCCCAGGGGCGAGGGGCTCCAGCTAATCGAGGCCCCGAATTAGCAGTCAGCCGGCACGATCGTCGCGACTCTGTAAATGGGTAACAATGTTAAGTAATTAGGTAAAAAGTTCCGTAATCAAGAAGCAGATCTTCCGCTGGTCTCCCCGAGAAAATCCACCCCCCCCAAGGGGTGGTACTCGGAGGCCTCGCCCTTCTTCGTATTAAAATAGTCGCGCTAGAAGAGAGTGCGTTGCGCCCTGCATACCTTAAAACCCAAGGGTTGCAGGGGGTGGTAAAAGCGGGAGCGAGAAGGGGCGGCTCTGATTTTTCCCGCGACTCTTATTACTTTACCCGGCTTGAAAATTCAGGAGGGTTGGGAGTCCCTCGAAACTTTGCGACCCGCGACCACCTCTCGCTATCCGTCTTCGATTTCACCCCGTAGGAGGGAAATCGTGAGGTCCACCCGGGAGACTTTTCCAAATTTCCTCGCCCACGAGGGAGGACCTCCTGTTCCAACCACCCTCCTCGCCGTTCGATCCCTTTCCCAGGATCCAGGAATTTAATTCCCCCTCTAATCGGCCGGGTGATTTCTTTCCGCGGTAATTGACGAATGTTTAATTGGCTCACGGGTACATCAATTGCAGGGGATCCCGGTCGCCCGCCAGGGTGGAGGTCGCCCGGGGCGGGAATTCGCCGCTCGCGGACGGCGCCTCGCATTGAATGCTAAACAAAAGCTAATTTATATCCGGAGATCGGGAGATGAATGGATGTACTCCTTGCATACCAAGTGGCCCCGCTCCTGAAGGATCCGCCAGGACGATCGGGAGATCCCGAGGGAGGTCGACCGGTCGAACCACCGAATCGACCCGCCCTAGAAGTGGAAGTAAAATCGAAACTCCCCGCACCACCCTCACCCCTCCCAATCGTCCGAAATTCCCTGGCAGGAATCTCACAGGACGCGTTTAAGGACCTGCCAGGATAAAAGCCCCACGTCAGTCAAGCATCGGTCGTCATTTCTTTCCCCTCCCTTTGGGTCATCGACCACTCGCCTCGGCAAACCCAAATCCACCCTCCAGAAATTCCCCCCCAAGGGACCGGGACGTTCCCTTTAGGGTGGGTTCCTTTAAAATCCCGAAGGACTTTCCGCGGGGAAACGAGGCCCAGCAAACCGTACATCCCCTTGAAATATCGCGAATCCCGCCGAGGGCGAGCTTGGACTTCCAATTAGGATCCGAAGGTAAAATGGCGACCCTGAAGAGCGATTAAAATGGTCATCGCGACGCTGATCACTTCGCCTCGTATCCCTTTTCAAGTCCTACACTCTTATCCGTTCACGGATACTGCTTTCGGTCCAGAAATCCAGACGGGAGGTTCCAGTCCCTCCCCCTTCTTCTTCCGAAAAGTCTCACCTGGGCACCCGGAGGATGCCCAGGAGGGTCGCAAGCTCCGTCGAAAGGAAGCCTGTTGATTCGAGGGGCGTCGACGTTCTGGGCCGCGAGACATCGTCTAGCCGGCGTTGAGCTTTCTCGATACACAAGCCGAGGCAACACCGCAACACAACACTGCGAAGCACAACAAGTGGGGGGGATGAAGGGTGGGAAAGCTGGAGAGACATATATAGCGAGCTTTCGGAGGCGCGCGTCGCCGGGCTGCCACGTGCTCGACAGGGGCGCCGTCCCCCTCGCCCCCGCCCTCCCCTTCTCGCTCCCGCGCTTTCCCGGCCTTTCCGAGCTTTTCTCTCTCTCTCTCTAAACAACCCGCCCTTTCCGCCGGCCGGTCGTTCGGCCCTCTTTCCGCGTTTCCCTCCCCGTACCTTCCCAGTGGAAAAGGGAGCTTGCACCCAAACGACGCTGCGTCCACTCCCCAAAACCGATTGCACCCGATTGCAGATTACCCTTGCCCCCCCCCCCATTTAATATGGAAAAAAAGGGCCAATTTTCCACCCTCATTTCGGGAGGTAACGCCGAGAAAAGGGCGCATGTGCCCCACGCGCTCGTTCGCGAATCTTCGATCGCGCTGCAGTTTGGCTTTCTCCCCATCCCCTGTGGAGCTTTTAAGGTGATCTCGCCTCGGGGAAGCTCCTCGTGGGCTCCGAGAACTTACCTGAGACTGCCAGCAGCGCATAGTTAGATCTAACAACGTAACCGAGACGTGCAACCTTGTAAATAGATGTCTGGGGCGTGCTAATGCTGCCTTCTGACGCGAGGGGTGATACGTCGGGGTTCCCACCCCCGGGTGGGTGGCCGGGGGGTGGCGCGCCGTTGTTGTACCCCCTGGCTCCTTGCTCCGATTACATACGCACGCATGTGTGCACCTGGATAATTAGGGGTCTTAACGAACCCGCCGACTCGGTAAATAATTACCAGGCCGCGGTATGGATTCCACGGTGGAGGACGAGGCACCCCTTCGAAAGTCCGCCATTTCGGCCGCGTCGTGCCGGAAACCGACGGTCGACCTTATCACTCGGGGGGATGGTTTTCGGCGGGTTCAGTTTCTGCGCGGGGTCTTCGCTATTTCGAGTTAAACGCCGCCATCGCTCATCCGAATGCGGCCTCGATCGGTCTCGGTCAACCGACCCTGGCCAACGACTTGTCGATCGGCTTGCCCGCGAATTTATTGCTCGATAAAACTCGCGAGATTGCCCATCGGGGGGAGCGGCCTCGATTTTTCTCCTTTTATTAGCCGCGTCTTAATCCATCGAGGAACGAGGGGTCGATCCTAGCTCCTTGCCGAGTGGCGACCTCTTCCAGGCAAGGACTTGGCAAATGAAATCCCGAGGGAGGCGTTTCTGTCATTTCTTTTATTCCCTTGTCCTTCGTATCGATACTTCAGGTGGAACCGTTAGGACCGTGGGAGATCGGTTTATCGGGAGATCCGTGAAATACCTCCAGTTTGAATGCTCGAAAGAGGCGACGGCGGATCGAGCCCGGCAATGGCGCGTCTTCCGGGGGCGATCGGGGGCTGGGGGGAGCCACCCTGCGTCTTCCCGCCTCTCCAGCTTCCTTCCTCCTCTCCCATTCCGCCTTCTGTCCTCCTTCCTCTTGACTTGCCCGGTAATAACAGACAAGATTGATAGTCGGAGAAAATCTGAGTCCCGGCGCTGCCACCCCCTCCCCGCCGCCCCTACTCGCGCCCCTTCGATTTTCTCCTTTTCACCCCTCTCGCCCACCTTGGGCTTGGTCATGGATAAGGGACGGGCTTGTTTCGGCCATTTTCTTCCCCGACCGTCGCCATATTGCCGCACTCCGGTCGGACCCGACGTCGTCCTGGGACACGACGTCGTCTTCGACGTTCCTATTCAGACGCCCGATTCCTGCCCAGAGACGGTCCCATTCATGAGTACACCTGACGGTGAGGATGAATGCGACCGCACGACGAGGTTTGCGACTAAATCGGTCTACGGGCAGTGGCCGAGGTCTCGAGGTCGAATGCTTGCCAAATTCCGCGGCCGTCGCGACGCTCTCTCCTCGGGAGAGCCATAACCTCTACGGGAGATGAAAAGAGATCGTCCCGCTGCACCTCGTTCTCCCTTCAAGAATCCCGCAATGCCCAGGGT